TCTGCAGATCACCAGGTTGTCTGCAGATCACCAGGTTGTCTGCAGATCACCAGGTTGTCTGCAGATCACCAGGGTGTCTGCAGATCACCAGGTTGTCTGCAGATCACCAGGATGTCTATAGATCACTAGGATGTCAGCAGATCACCAGGATGTCTGCAGATCACCAGGATGTCTATAGATCACCAGGATCAGCAGGATTTCTGCAGGTGCCCAGGATGTCTGAGGATCAGATGTTTATCCTACCTGCAGGATGCTGCCTTTCCTTTTCATGTTTCAGCTGAGGGATACAGAGCTGGTGATTCTACAGCTGGTGATGAAACATTGAAGCTGAACATTTAGAAACGGACGGTTCCTCTGCTTTAGTCCGTATTTGAATGAGATTCTGAACCGTGCTTTAGTCGCGCAGCCTTTACTGGTCCATCTCTCCAGCAGCCATGCTAGTCTGCTAACGCTGATAGCACCCTGTTGTTTTTCAGGAGATCGGGACGGGAGGAACGTGTCAGTGGAAGATCTGCGGACTGGATGCCAGCACCACCATGGCTCTTTACTTCGAGGTTGTGAACCAGGTAAGGGGGTCCTCTAAAGAACCATGGGACTCAAAGGAAGATGTGAACCAGATAGTTCCATCCCAGTCCACCCAGCATCAAGACAAACTCCTATAGAAGCTCCAGAGCTTCACTATTGGCCTGAACAGCTTCAGATGTTCTACTGATGAAGGACAAACCTGAGTTTAGATTGACTTTGGGTTTAACCTGTTAGAGACGTTGATAAAAGTTTATTTCCCTTTTAGGAAGTTTAGTTTTTATTTCCCTTCATTGGTTTGAGCATCTTTCCGTCACAGACCAAAGAGGAAGACCAAAGACAAAGTTCATGGTTGTCATTTACCAAACATGCTGCTCCATACATCAAGTTACCTCCAGCACAGCAGGGAGGCTGTTGGAGCTGAAGCAACAATGGCAGAGTAGGCGATCCGCAAGCATCTATTTATTTTGCATGAACAGGCCAGTTGAGGTGGACCTTCGCTGTAGGGCAGAGTTAATGTATTAGAGGTCTGCGGACTGGATCCGGACCCAACCTGATTTAAAACATGTATAAATTACTGCATGTCATTCTCCTGTTAATACGGTAAAGCCCACCACAGCATCTGGCTCCAGGCTGCACGTGATCCAAATTAGCCAATCAGTCTGGGTTGCTGCTGCTGCTACTTTTAGACACAGCAGGCAAACCTGTGGCAAGCCGGGCGATGGGAAAGAAGGAGAAGATGATGAGAAAAAGAGAGCAAAGAAAGTGTGGACTGCTGGAAGAACTGCGATGAACTGGTAAAAGAAATGTTTGGCTGAACCTGCTGCAGTGAAGCAGGATTCTCCACCATGAACAGAATCAAAAATAAATATGGATCCAGGCTCAAAATGAGCACCTTGATATGTGCTTGATAATGGCTTAGTCTCCATTCAAACCAGGTTTAAAGCCTTGCAGGGCAGCATAAAGCCCACTGCGAACATTAACACAGAAAAAAAGAAAAATAACAAACGCTCAGTTCAGCTGTTTTATAAAATTTGTGAATCAGGAAATTGTCTATAAACCAAACAGGCGATTGTTGTTCTCTACTTAAAAAACAATTTAGATTTAAAAATGGAAAAAACATTGTATTTTTTTTTTTATATTTATATTTTTTTTTATTTAAAAAGTCAATATATAACATGGATGCATAAATACCTCATTTTATTTCAGTGTTAAATTCTATTTAAAGTAACGGATTATAATTAAAATCTCTCCGGACCTTTACTGGTTGATGATTTTTTGTATTTGGACCCTGCTGGTTATTAATTGGTTACCACTGGTCTAGAGGATGGTGGCATCTGATGTTGTGTAAACTTGACTGTAGTTGATCAACATATTTGATAAAGTATCAGACTTGTTTCATGATGATTTGCTGATAGTTTAACATCACACATATCTCAAGTTTTTCATCTTGATCAAACTGCATAGAAATATGAGTAATTAGATGTTTCCTGGATTATATGTATTTTCCCCTGATTTAGGCAGATAAGAAAATTTTCAGCCAATAGAATCAGATAATTTATGCTTAAGTTAAAAAGTCAGATGAGATGCTCCAGTGCTCTGCTCTATAAGAAATAAAATAACTCCATTATATTATTGCTAGAGTAGAATTCATAATGATCTTATTCATGGGCAGAAATCCCCGTTCCATTAGAAGATCATCTCCTTCTTTGGTCAAAAATCTACTGATTCTAGTTCCGATAAGCAGCAGCGGGTGCGAAATGTTCTGATCCTCTGAATGGACCTAGTTACTGATCACCCCCCACCCAAACCCCACCCCCAATCGTCCGTCCGTCCATCCTGTGATTCTTCAGTCCGTCTGACCTTTCACCCAGATGATGTCCTCTAGCTAACAGGACAGCCTGATTAGCTGTGCTGATTCCACTGTTCTGATCCAGCTGGGGGGGAGGGGCTTACTGCGGTCCAGGCGTAGGTGACGGAGCCGTTTCTGTAGCAGATGTTGGTGCAGAACGGTGGAGCCGAGGAACCATCCCAGAGCAGCTCTGGTAGAACCTGCTTAGCCTCTGATGCACTGCTGAGCGGTACCTGCTGGACTCAGAGAGAGGTGGATCATTAGAAGCACTGGGATGGCCACCGCCTTCCCTCCGTTCTAGTTTCTAAATTATCTAATATGATATCCATCATAAGCCTGATTCCTTTCAGCTTGAAAATGACAAGAAATGGGATGTAGTTCATATTGAACACCAGTGTAGGGTTAGGGTTGGGAAACTCAGGTCTCTGCAGGTCTTCTGGTTTGGTGTGTTTAAAGCCTCCTGAAAGCTCCCAGATTTCTGTGGGTTAGCGTGCTGTCAGAGCTGTGACGTCCAGCTTACCTCTGAGTCATGCAGATGATCCAGGGGTTGATGGCGGCGCTGGTCAGAGCCAGCCAGGTGGACAGAGCCGCAGCAGCCTCTGGGCTCTGCTGTCCGCTGAACGTCTCATACAGACAGACTGAGATGAAGGGCAGCCAGCAGACCAGCAGACACGCTGCACACAGACAGGACAGAGTTAGGGAGGGGGGGCCTGACACGCTTCTCTGGTTTAACCTTCATCATTAAGCTGAATCATTCAGCGTTTCTCTGAAGATAACAAGAAGCTGAAGATCTGATCGTTGTTTAGAAGAACTGCTTTGATTCTGGCCTAAATGAAGCTTCTGATCCTTTAGCTTCCTGGAAAACAGGGAAAGTTCATGGAATGGGGTTGGAGGAGAATCCATCCATCCATCCATCCATCCATCCATCCATCCATCCATCCATCCATCCATCCATCCATCCATCC